CCGCAATATCGTCAGCAAATAATAAACAAAAGAGTTCAATGAGGTCAGGTGAAAGTTGAATACCATGGTGAGGGGACTGTTGTAGTTCAATAGCTAGTTCATTAATGAAGAAGGAAAATAGGAAGGGACTCAACAACAACCTTGGCGGACACCAATTGGACAGTCAAAATATTCCGTATATTGATTTGATGTTCTAATACACGATTCTAACATTGGAGTAAATACTAGCAAGTATACGGTACATTTTTCCTGTCACCCCCCCCCACCCTTTATCAAAATATACCATAGTCGCTGTCTCTTTACCATGTCAAAGGCCTTGGAAAAATCTACAAAAACACAATAGAATTTCCCTCTTTTACGTGTGATGTATTTTTGTACTAAAGATTGTAGAATAAAGATATTATCAAAAGTTGAGTACCCGTTTCTAAAACCTGTTTGTGCTTCATTTATTTTGCCAAGAGCCTCCGACCAATAGTAGAGTCGACGGTTCAAAATAGAGGTGACAATTTTACCAAAAAAACTAAGTAAAGAAATTGCCCTATAACATATTACTTAGTAACTGATAATAATTCTGATGGATAATTCGAACTAAATTGTACTTTGAAAATAATTATTATCGTATCATAATGCTAGTAAGCTTGTCAACATTATTTAACTGGTGTTTTAATAAGTTGTTTTTATCACTTTCTGTACCAATAACCAAACAAAGTGTGCGTTTTCTGAAAACCATTGTAACTGCGTGTGCTTACATTGGTTAGATGTGAGACAAATGGCCTTCTCGGTGCTGATTGTAATGACAGTGTGTTTAGTATGGATCCCATGTGACACACAGTGCGTGTTTATGCAACAATCCACCTTCCAGATATATGCATTTCCATGGTTATATTTTTCAGTATCTTAATCGGCATCTTTTGTTTCAGTTCTTGAATATCTTACTATGGGGCTGTGCCTTTGCTATTGGTTTAGCCGTCGTATATGGCGTAGATACATCGATAAGAGGGATCCACATATCACAAGGAGCAGCCGTATTTTATGTAACGACTCACAGATTTGCATTTTCATTGGCGATTGGTTGGGTTATATTTGCATGTACAACTGGGAATGGAGGTAAGCTGATCATAATAGTGTTTGACAATAATCCCATTTCCATCATAGGGGACAGAACTCCCTGGTGAAAGCGGTTCATATAAATAAGTACCGTTAAGACTGGACTGTCTATAAAAGTTGTATATGCATAATGGGTCTTCATTTAAAGGGCGGTGGTCGTCGTGTCGCGTCCTGTTCGATATGGGACTCATAGCGACGTACACAACGCGTGCAAAATACATTGTTTATTTACATGAAATTCGAACACGCGCTGCGCGACGACCACCGACCTTTAGGCAGTTTTATTAACGAAGTATGTAAACTCGTCTTTTTTCAAAGGACTGGTGAATGCGCTGTTGTCATGGACTGCTTGGCTACCACTTGCTCGAATGAACTACTGTGCTTATCTTGTACACCTGATTGTTATCCTCGTATACGACTTCAGTTTGAAATCATTGTATTACTATTCAACCATGGGATTCGTGAGTAAACACTTCTGTAATTAGAACTCTTGTCATGCATTTGTATACACGGGGCGTCATGTTTATTTTTAATCTTATTATATTCTATGTATAACCGATTCTCGAATAATTGATGATTTAACAAGTTGTATTATCCGAGGTCTTCAAGATGTACATCAAGATTTGCATTATTTATCAACACTAGTTGGTTGTTTTGTTTAATTAAATCAGTTGCTGAAACTCTGTGGGTATATAACAATATGTGCAGTGTGTAGTTGAGCGCTGGAGTTTACAATTGCCTATATGGTTAGGTGACTGACGTGCACATTGCTTTGTGTAACGTTATTTTCTAATCAGTGTTGTTGGTTCCTTCAAAAGCTATTTTCAGTCTTGAAATAGCAAAACATATAAACAAATATGTATTTTCTTATATATTTGGTTTCTAGGCAATGGACTACATTGGGATAGTAGTGATTACATACGGGGTAGCCTACGTTGTTGCAATGGTTGTGGAACTTCCTATGATCGGATTGGAAAGGGTGATAATACCATCGAAATATAAAAGAACATAACGAAACATGTTAGCTTCAAATCGGATTTAGGGGCGACCAGACTATTGTATTTTTTATAAGTTTACTTGTAAATATAAATTTAAATATTTGTTTATGTTATTTCATTTTGGCGACTTATTGTCAAACCTATATTTTATTTTATATGGTATGTTTTGTTTGCACTAAATGTATGGGTGAGTGTTGTGGAACCATTTTTTTTCAATATGTAAAAGCTTTCTCTTGTTTTGTTCAACATTTTACCAATTCAAAAGAATTATACTTTGCAGACTTTGTGTCAACAATCTTTTACCTGTGTGCCTTTTAGTATCTCTGAGCAAACAAGACTGGGCCACTTTCTAATCTTTTCACAAATGTATAAACACCTGATTCCCAGAAAGGGGGAATGACTTCTGTTTCGGAATCTTAAACATAAAAGGAACATAATGCTACATCCGTTAATTAAAAAACCTAACATTCAATCAACACTTACTAAAAGCAATACCGGCTCTGATTTGGTAAACAAATATTGGATCGGAATGAAATGAAATTATGAAGAAACCAAACATTACGTGTTTGGAAAATAAAGTACCCACTTCAAATATTTCTCGTGTATATATATATCGTGTTGTGTTGTCTGGGATACAGTATTGTATATCGATGAAACCGGCAAATATTCGGGAATATTGTTGCTGCTAGTGGGGTCATCGGGTGCCATATCCATACATTCTATATGCTTGATACAATTTTAAAGAACTTTTATTTTTCATATTTTTGACAAAACGAACCTTACTGTATATTACTGTTATATAAAGAATATTTTATAAAATCAATTTTAAACTTATACAATGTATTTTATTACCGTAGATGAGGTCTATTCTGAAATATTTGTCATTTTAAAAGTCGGTTAGGTTCACAGTAGGTATATACATCGCGTGGGACTCGCATCAAACTCGACGCGTTCCGATGACTGGGGAGCTTTAGATACTATAGTACTTCATATTGTCTATTGTTGTAGTCGTATTCTCGATTTTAGTTTATATACGAAAGCTCTCAAAGATGTATATGCTTGGTTTACCATTTCTTCTTGATTCCATATGATTTAAATACCGTATGTAGAAACGTTGGTGTACAGCGTAGTTCTCTGTATTTTGTCTCGGTAAACTGTGTGCTTGTCGCGTGTAGTCCTAAATGTCGCCCTCTCCAGGCCAATGCACATACGTGTTATTTATACCAATACAGTTGTATATACTTGTCTCTGTGATACAAAGCATTGGTTCTGAAAATTCTTCAAACGTATATCTTGGGAGCTCGCAACTACACTCTAGATTTATCTTTATATTTTCTTTTAATGTCATTAAATAGCAGTCGTGTTTACAAAATAAAGCACGGGTGAGTGCCAGTAGTCAGTGTCTTGTTGAATGTGACCTTCGATTGCACTCTGCGATGATGAAAATACCTCGCTGACAATTGGAACGCAGACTGGTACAATGCAGTGCCTGGCACGACGAGTCGATCTCCGCTTCGAGTGACAAAAGAAAAAAAATATAATAATGTTATTTACAGAGTATACGTCACCGAGACGGGTGGGTGGTTTACTTAATTAAATAATAAAAATGTTAGCTTTCACACTCTCGAGACTTGGCACACATACATGCACTATTAATTTCAAGAGCCTGTCATTCATTCTACTTTTGTCATGATAAAAAAAAGTGATTCGGAATTCTACACAACAATAAAACGTCTCGGTCACAGGTCGGTTGACACTATCCCTTGGCGCAGATGAAATGCAAACTTATTGAAATAGGTTGATATGTTGTGAAGCAGTCGATCACGACTGCATATTGAAGAGAAATGTGTCAATCTCAAAGATTGCACCACGGAACCATGGGATAGCATTGTTCAAGCTATAAATCTGTGTTTTTGTCTTCCATTGTATTTTTAATCTGCTGATAAGTTTGTTGTTAGAGTAGTCTTATTTAATACACTAAATATCATTAAAGCCTAATAATCTATATTTAACAAAGTGACTTGAAATTGGACTAACTAAAGAATACAAATTGTGTTCGCCAATTCCGTTTTCCGTGAGATCTGAGACCTGGGAAATGGAAAAATCTGTTCATACACGGACTACGTCGACACCGTGTGTCGGAATACAACGAAGACGATGTTATTGTTAAACAGACAAAAACAAGATTATTTGTATTCATGCATAAGTCGTTGCACATACCAGGCATTCAATGAGAGATCATAGAACGATCCCTATAAAACGCCCCGTCAATAGACACTCTCGGCCAATGGCTGGATAACCTCACTATAACTATTGTTCGAGCAGCGTTTGGAAGCTTTGTGAACAAAAACGTTTTATTTCTTCGACTCGATATGGTAGAAAAAGACAAACGAATACATAATAGGTCGAAGCGAGGTCTCGATATGTTAACGTTTATTTAACGTCTGGGCTTTTAGTTTTTCACGGACACGCACGCAAATCAGTTTATTGCGTTGTGTATATTTCGTTATGCATTTACACGACACGGTACTCGTGTAACATAAAGAACACAAACAGAAAACTCATTACATACAAAACTAGTTGATATGTGACGACACATGTAACAATGGACAATTTTTGAAGCACTTACAAATACTGTGGTCAGTTGCCAAGTTGGGATTAGACGAATACACAAACGTGGTGTAAAGAACGGAATGACCACAATTGCATTTTTATCTATTTTAAATTCTTTTAACGGAATACAAATTCTGTCTTCGTTTTGTAAGCCTTTTAGTCAGAGCGTTTCTGAATTTCTTATTTATGCTACATATATTGTTTGAACTGGTAGTTTTTGTTCACTGTATTGTGAGAACATAGTTTTTTGTGTGTTTGTTTGTTTTTGTTTTCGTTTTCCATTTACGTATTATACAATTAACGGTTTAAACTAAAAAAAAATTCGGATGGTGCAGACCTACGCATCTCATGTCCCCACATATTGTGACTTGTAAGGCAACCAAATCATTATCTCTGCCAACATTTAACAAATTGGTCATATCACCAACGGCGACCACTCCAAAATCCGCTCATGATTGTTATAAGATATTTTCTCGAGAAACCTTTTAAGTTATACATAAAAAAAATCATTTCTAAAATTGATGTTTCCATAGTAATCCTGCACTAAAATTTATTTGGCTTGTTTCAAAAGAAACCCTTCCTAGAAACTAGAAATTTCGTGAGAACCCGAGTCCATCAATAACCTTTAAAATTATAATTTCCCGAAATTTGCTCTTTCCATGGTAACCATACTCGTATCTTTACCAAAATGTAATGGATTCGTACGTGTGCCAAGCGCCTAGAAATTTTATGAGAATCCATCTATAAATATTTTAAGTCATTCTGTTAAGAGACAACGGTGGTAACAAGTCATACATAGTATTTATATATTTTGTCATATTTTGTTTCCTGCATAAAATCTAGTATCATTTACATTTGTATTTGACATTAGTTCTCTGAGTCCAGGGTTTACAACCGCGTATACAAGTACTTAAAATACTTTGTTTTCTACCATAAAAATTAAAACCTAAAATTTTCAAGTTCATTATGAATAACTGTTAGGAGAATTCTAATTAAAATCAAAAGTGACACCACTCAGCATCACGTGTTAGTGGGCACATATCCAATGCATTATGGGCAGGGTTCCCTGTTGAATGTAATGTGAATAGTATCTCTTTGTGAAAACATTGTATTCAATATTTATCATTTTTCGGTAGCATATTATTAATATTATATCATTTTTTTTTCAGCCCATGTACCGAGCAAAATGCCGGGATGCGGGGAAATATTGTCACTATAGCAACCCAATCATTCTCTGTATCCTAGTGATATGAATCCAAAATGTAACAAGAATAAAATGTCATATAATCTTCAATTAGGCTTTAACTTCCTCAATATCACGATATCATTTCAAGGCCGTAAACTCAAGAGTCATAAACATATTTTCGTCGAGAATGTCTATACTACTGAACTGTTCGTAATTTCTTACGATTCCTCTCCAACTTTGATTGAATATTATTGTGAATGTTATTGTGAATTTCGTTGAAAAAAATACATCAATTTGGGGATACACCCTCTATATGACATTTCATTTGTCGCTATTAACCATCCCTCGTGATTTTGCCACCTTTGCAAAATTGCATATAATATCAACGAATTCGACTCATCAAAAAGAAGAGACTATTCAAAGTAACTTGACAGCGCAAGCAAAGTGCTTAATTTGCATAATTGAATGGCACCATTTATGTTTACGCTTTTAGTTGCATCTTTTGCTGTACGTCACAACATTCCGTCAACCTACCGTTGCTTAACAACAAATGGTTGCAAAAAAGTTGTGCCCGCGTAAACTGCTTTATGCGCCGCTGAGACAGTGACGATCTGGGTCAGGAATGCACCAGGAATTCCCGCATAACAAATTGGCTCATTGGATTTAATTGCCGTATTTTACACGCAAAAAACATCGACAGACTTTCAGCAGAAAATCTTGTGCTGGGGTGTAATTTCACAACCTCTAATTTATACTAGCAAATAAGTCATGGGATTTATGGGACACCTCTATCTCGTAGTTGCGATTACAATGTAGTTACTGAATATCCGACATATTATCGATAATAACATTTTTAACCCTCATTCTTGATATTATTTCACCCATTTTGTTATTTTGACCTTCCACGTTGAGTGAAAGGACATGCCCATTTTGTCCTCGCCGATTAAATAGGTAGAATCATTATCTCCGCAATCAGTAATTGTCCGAGCTTTTTTATACTTGTGTACGGGTGTGTGCGTCTTCTGTTTGCGTTTATCCAAGTGAGCTCACCAACGTTATTGTGGCATTTGTATACGGGGTCAAAATATGCACGAACACTCGTAGAGTCTACAGTAGTCTGGGAGGGTTTGTCGTAGAAAAAAAACAATTAAGTTCATTTGCAGGAATCACCCTATAATAGTTACCCCGTTGTGTAACATGCCCCCAAAACGCTGAAAGCCGGTGCCTGTCATTCCAAATGTATTTGTTTACGAATGAGGTACACACAGAAACAATAACCAGTTACGTGATTTGAATGCTGAGTTGGGGGAATTTGAAAAGAGCCTACAGATACGTGCGTCTTACTGGTAAACACCGCTACTCCAGGGTTAAAGCAATGAATACGACCATTGACGCGAGTTGTGGGCCACATAGTTCCCATTCCTCGGTAATGACATTAGTTGGAAGCCCGGAGGATATGCATAAAACCTATGAATTAGTCCTTGACGATCAGATCTGTACATAATACCGTACACTGGGTGTAGTGTTACACTGTATATGGCCATCATCATCCATATTGAGTGAACACAATGCCGGAGGATGGACAGAGGGATGCAAAAATCAACAGGTTGTTTGTTTTCAATAAAAGTGATTTATTAGAATAAAACGATGAAAGCGTGATTTTACGTAGTTAAGTAGTTGACATGTGTACAATTCAGCGCTGTTAAATGGCTGACTGGGTATATTAAGAGAATGTAAAGCATTTCCGATGTATACCTTTAAAGAAATAAAAAAAATTGTCGTACGCTCCGCGCTAACACATAATCAGACTGCTGTCCAATTGCGGTATTGAAACAATACCCAGAGTGAACTATAGTTTTGCAACAAAAATAGGGGGAATATATTATCCTAGAAAACACAGGACAATTATGATTGCCATGCAGATTAAAGCAAAAACCCAATATAAATCACGACCATGGCATCGAGTCTATAACGCGACCATATAAACGGATTTTAGAGATTACGCCTTCGTATGAATCATTGTGAGGCACGGACGATGATACCATAGTCTACGCGATTTTCATCTCTTCAGTATAACTGAGCGAACACAGAAATAACATTATAATTTAATCAGATAACGCGATATTTCCAGCAGATATCAACATGCACTCGACCGTTAATATTCCCATGTCCTTCCGATGTATTATGCAAATGTCCTACTGGTATATTACTCTGATTCCAGTGACCTTAAAATCTGCGCTGTAGAGAGGGAAAGTACTACTAGTGAATTGTGGGATAGCCGTCATCAATGTCCGCCCGATTAGAATATGAATGTCGCATTCAGGCTCATGCGAACTGTGTGCTTTGGGCGTCAGTGAAACAGGCGCGGCCAGAAACCAGCAGCGTTTCGCAGAGGACAGTGTATATTTGCCGTTATCTGAAGCAAGGAAAAGACAATAGGATATTTATTTAGTAACAGTTTCGACATAATGTCATCGAGGACGTAACCACTGTTAGAGAAGCGTAGAAATATGAAGACGGTGTTAGTCTTCGGTTTAGTTCTATTAGCGGCGGTAGTCACTGTAGCACAAGGTAAGTTCTACACTCAGTAGTTATTCTCGGAGATCTTACTCCTACACATAAGATCTCATTTATCTTCCGAGTGTACAGTATATCAAACAATCGATCCACGCTGTATAAGACCGTTAGATTCAGTGGCTTCTCCGTCAGGGCACAGCGTGCGTAACCCCGGTAGCTCAATTATGTTAATTCGCCGCAACCATAACATGGCATATATCGTCTGTGTGTTAATATACCTCCATATCAAATGCATGTAATTGTCACATGTAAGAAATATGGACGTGTATTCAATAACTTGTGGGTTACTAGCGTTGTTGACATGCGTGCTTTATTGGCCTGTAACTATCGTGTGTTGATGTGCGTGTGCATGTATCCGCACGTCAACGACGCCTTAGTCTTGCCACACCCTTGGATCGAGCCATGACAACTTGTTGTGGCCGCTCCCAGTATCAGTGTGCACATTGCAGAAATCGTCGCAAAATATGCGGTCACATCAAAGGACATTGTGGCACATATGGGGGAAGATTTACTTGCCATCCTGTTCACCATGGCAATCTCGGCAATGGCAAACTAGTATGCATACATATATACAGGCACTGTTGGGTGGTTATTCAGCGGGCAGATATTGTCCTTAAGCAATAACACCAGGTATTTGGCAACTGCCTATGACTTCAAAAAAAATGATCCGGAAACGATAATGGGCCATGAATTTCGTGAATAAAACAACGTTTGCTGTTTGTTTTTTATTTGACAAGTAATATACACCACACAGAGATATAAAAATAGATATATAGACCAAACCATGGTATTCGTTATTGTCTAACAATAAATAAAAGCAGGTAGTCAAAAAGTTATTCACGTCAACAGATCACTTTCATGATCACAGTTTCAATTTTCTTGTACTGTCGTTCTACTGTCTGATTTTCTCACAGCGGTGGCATTTCTGACAGGTGTGCTTAACACTGACCGCTGGTGAACAATTCACAGAGGTGAATGTCATTTTTCAAGTGACCGCAGCGTGTCTACCTACTGGAGCATATCAAACTGCTAGTGAGTGCACAGTAGCCTCGTGAACAATATATCGTGATACGTGACGTGACTTATCGTCAAGGTGGCAAAGATTGTGATCATTAATCTCACACTATTTACCAGATCAACATTCTAGAAGTAGATTACGTAAAATGACAAACATCTGTCAATCTACAACCATCAACTCGCAGCAAACAGTGTGCATAAACGGTGAGATATCGGATAACAACCGACATAGTAGTTTGCATGTATGACCCGTAGTCTAGAGAAACAATATACCTTGAGAGGAGTAAGTACCTGCGCTAGAAAACCAATATCAATTAACGCATCTATTGTTAAGAACCGTGTAAGGGGAGCTATGTAGGGTGGGTGCCCGAAAAACAGTGCTTATCGAAACAAATGTTCAGGTACCATAACATGTATAACATAACTTAGTTTATGCTGACGTAATAGCGTAGAGTCACTTAACGAAACGATACATACAATACACTACTTGAGATTACAGAGGTTCAATTATTTATAAAAACACAGTCAGT